ACACAATTAACAAACTGACACTTACTACCACAAAATGACACACACGCAACCACAAACGGACACGAAAGCCATTTGAAATTTTATTAAACCTTCAGAGATATAATCACTTATGGATTAAAAATACAAGGGATAATAATAAATATAATAATAATAGTTACAACAACACAACAACAACAACAACAACAACGACAACAACCACCACCAACAACAACAACAACCAACTATAACAATAACAAAACAACAACAACAACAACCAGCATAACAACAACCAACCAACAAACAACAACAAAACAACAACAGCAACACCAACAACAATAATAATAATAATAAAATACTTTTTTGACCTGTTGTGATTGCTTTTGTTGAAATTAAATTTCTTGGGGAATTAACTGTCGCCTGCATTCCAAATCTAAGCACCATATTTCATATATATATATATATATATATATATATATATATATATATATATATATATATATATTCATATATATATATATATATATATATATATATAAATAATTGTGTGTGTGTGTGTGCGTGTGTGTGTGTGTGTGTAAGAGTGTGTGCGTGCATGTCTGTGTAAGAGTGTGTGTTGTTTTTGTTACAAAAATAATTAAATTAAAATTAATTATACAACAAAAGCCAAAAAAAAACACAGATACAACTTTGAAAAAAAATTAAAAATTTATTGAAGTGAGAAGCAGATAAAATTATAGAAAGAGAGATAGAGAGTGACAGAGAGATAGAGAGAGAGAGAGAGAGAGAGAGAGAGAGAGAGAGAGAAAGTAGAATGTGAAGAGAAAGCTATAAAAAGATGAAAGATGGCACAGGTCGTAGCAGTTCAAGTTGCAACTCAACAAAATATTTTAAGTATGGCTGTTAGTATCAGGAGGTCATCACTCAGTTGTATCAGCTACATGTGATTGAATCAATCTTCAAAACAAAATTCAAGTTCTGTTACACTCCTCCTATGTTCTCAAATACCTACCGACATCAACACACAAGCAGCTTATGTGATTACGTTCTGAAGAAAATTACTTCAAAACCACAAGACCGTATGTTAATAATATTAATACTATTCGTAATCGTGGCGAAAGTATTTTTTATTTTTACAGCAGTTGCAGAATTAGTAATAGATGTAGTAGTAGTAGTAGAAGAAGTAGCCACACCAACAGCAATAGTAGTAGTAGTGGTAATAGTAGTAGCAGTAGCAATACCACCAGCGGTAGTATTAAAAATTTTTGTAGTAACGGTAGTAGTAGTAGCAGCGGCTTTAGCAACAATAGTAGTAGTAGTAGTAGCGGCTGCAGTTGTTGAAATAGTTGTAGTAATAGTCGCAGATGCAGTAGTAGTAACAAAAGTTAGTGAAGTAGTGTTAGTAGTAGTAGTAGTAGTAGTAGTAGTAGTAGTATTACTAAGTCTGGTTATAAATGCGTCTTAGAAAAGTCATAAAACCCGCTTAAGCTTAGCTAGCGAACGCTGGAATAATAATAATAATAATAATAATAATAATAATAATAATAATTTTAAACAATGCCCACGTGATAGCAAAAATAATAAATAAGTAAATATTAATGTTGTTGCTTTACTCTTTTTATTACTACTATTACTTTTATAACTACACTACTATTTTTATTACAACAACAACAACTACTACTACTACTGCTGCTCTTACTACTACTACTACTACTACAACTACTACAACTACTACAACAACAACTACTACTACTACTACTGCAACTACTACTACTGTGTGACTGCTGTTTCTACTACTACTTCTTCTTCTTCTACTACTACTACTTTGTTAACCATAATACTTTTTTA